ACACCACAGGATTAACTAAGTCCCCGAGCGGACAGTGCCCACTGCGGGGTGCCCAGCGGCGGGAACCCGCCTTCCCCGCTGCTGGGCGCGCAGGCGGCTACGGTCACTCTGAAAGACAGGTGGCAGTTTCTCACAAAGCTACCTGTGCTCTAACCCTGCCAGCCAGCAGTCGAACCCTTAGGTATCCACCCAACCGATCTGAAAACATCTACACAGAAACCTGCGTGCCAGTGTTTACAGCGGCTCCATCCCTAGTCACCAGACCTGGAAGGGGCCGAGATGTCCCTTCAGGAGGTGAAGAAATAAACAAGCTGTGGTACATCCATAAATTGATGATTATTCAGCAATAAAACGAAATGAACTCTCAAGCCATGAAGAGATGTGGATGAGTCTTAAATTCATTGTTGGTGAGAGAAGCCCTCGGTAAAGGCTACACACTGTAGTATGTGAATTAGGTGACCTTCCAGAAAAGGGAGAAACTAGAGGCAGTGAAAAGGTCAGCGGTTGCCTGGAGGTGGGGTGGGGAGGCTGGGTCAGTGAGACTGTTCTGAACGCTGTGGTGATGGTGAATATAAGATATTATGCATTTATCAAACCCATAGAACGTCACAGCACAGAGCATATACCTATGAGTGTACACATATGAAAAAAATAATTTAGGAGGTCGAGGGGTCCCAGGATGGAATGCAGAATATGACACACTCATCTAGCTGTATTACAAGTGTGTGACACAATCCCACTGAAGGGGGTGGCAGATGAGGTGCTGACCTCGGTAACCTTGGAAATGAGTGTAACTGTGAGACCACAGGCAAAGAAAGTGTATGCAAGCTCTGCTCAATGGGCAATGTTTCCCGCAGAGGCCGTTAGTGCGCACATCGCTTTCCTTTCTTGGTCGGCCAAGAGGACCTAGCAGCGATGACCTCCCGGGCGGAACGTCCACACCCAGCACCCGCATCTCGGTCTCTCATGCTCTCCTCCAAGCAAAGGAACAAGCCTTGGAGAAATGGCTACTTCCAGAACTCTAGGGCTGGGGCATGAACTGCACCAGATGACTTACAGTGCTGGAAAGTAAGAAAGTGCTGAAAACCAGAGACCCAAGCAGACCCAAACCCATAACAAAGGGACTATGTCAAAGGGACATGGGATCCAATGGAAGACCTCTTGATGGCCAGAGCTAAAACAATTTGAGCAACAAAATAAAATAACATTGGACTATAACCTAAAGGATAAAACAAATATCCATGAGGCCATGCTGCTCATGAATAAAGTAGGGTAGGGGGACAGACCAACCTACTGTACAGAAAAATTCAAAATACTTTATGTAGATACTCTGCCCTCAAGGAGGGGGAGCTTGTTTCCCCACTTGCGTGTAGCTGCTCATAGTAACTTTCTCCCAAAGAGGACAGGATGCAAAAGGAGACAAGAAAGAATAACTTTACAGTACAGAAACCTGACATACACTACCTCAAGCCAGGAGATCAAGGTCACCATCAACAATGATAAGTCGTGTTGATAGTGTGTGCCCTTGATAGAATGGGATGAGAATGGCATCTTACCTCTGCCTAGAACACATTACTCAGTCTAATCAAGAGGAAAACATGAGAAAAATCCCAGCCGAGGGACATTCTGCAGAATTACCTGATCAGTACTGCTCAAAACTGTCAAGGTCATCAAAACAGAGGAATCTGACACAGGGTCCCACTGAGAGGAGACTAAGGAGACATGGCGAGTCAATGTAGTATGGTGGTGGTGGGATCCTGGAACAGACAAAGAACACCGGGAAAAAAGTGAGAAAATCTCAATGAAGTATGGACTTCAGTGAATAACAATGTATCAGTATTCGCTCATTAACTAAGACAAATCTATCACACTAATGTAAGATGTTAATTGCAGGAGAAACAGGGTGTAGAGCATACAGGAACTCTGTACTCTCTTCAGAATAACTCTGTCAATCTAAAATTAAAATGTATTAAAATTTATCATCATCATAAAAACAACACTTGCCAGTTGGAACAGGCTTGGGAAGATTGGAGTTACCTGAACTCGAGCGCCTCCTACGTGTCAGGCACTGTGCTAGACGCCCTTTGCCCTGGGAGCTCCTTAATCCTGTGAAAACGTGGTACACTCCAAAACGTCCAGCTGTAGAAAGGGGTGAGCAGGGAAGGTAGGTAAACGGTCAAGGTCAGATAGCTGCTATGGGAGAGGGGAGAATTCTACAAAGTCCAGAGTTTTCCCCTTCCCATCAAAATGCTCAGGATACTGTCATGGACCCTCTGGCCTCCACCCCTTTCACTAGTCACGTTGTGCACTGAGACTAAAGGGTATTTCAGCCCAGTGTCTGGAAGTTTGAGCCATGACCTTCAGCCAGCAACCTTGATGTGGGGCTCATGGTTGGACAGAGTGGTGTGGACCCCTCGGCATAACAAGAACGGCCAAGGCTGGGCAGATTCCTGGCCCCGGAGGAAGGGCCTGTCGGACCCAAGCCCTGCCTGGTGAGCACGTGGGCACCGCCTGCACAGGGTTCTTGGTGCACAGGCGTTAGAGGCACGCCTGCAGGGAGGTCCAGAAGAAAACTTTCTCTTGCTGTCATCCTTGCTCATGAACGTTCTCCAGCTCTTTAATGTGGAGTGCAAGGCCTTCCTGACTGCCAGCAAGGAACCTCTGCTCCTACCCTGCTGGTTTTCGGTGGCAGAAATGCTCCATGGTCAGACTGGGTTCATATCCCCAGTTTACGAGTTAGGGAACCCGGGGAAAGCAATGTAACCTCTAGGAGCCTCGACTGGCTCATCTGTGACATGGGGCTAAGCGCCGTTCCCACCTCCCAGGGTGTAGGAAGGCGCAATGCCAGCGTGTTCCTGCTCGGTCGGCACAGGCGTTTGACTGATGTCGGTATCGCCCTCCGGCCATGATTACTCCTAAACGTTTCTGCCTCTTCTACCCCACCCTGCCCCCATTTTGAAGTGCTTCTCATCCTTACGCAACCGAATCCTTCCCTAAGCCGTACCTCTTGTTTTCTTCCTGTCCCTCGCCTTGTCTGCACTTAGCAGGGGCCTCAGGGACCATGAGTGACTACACGGAGAATGAAGGTAAGGACTGAGGATGGATGGGGTGGTGAGGCTACTGTTCCCTGTGGTTTGAGGGGGAGGGGGAGGCATGGTTCCTACTGCTGAGCCAGGAGCTGCCTCACTCTGACTTCCAGGTCGCTCCCCACAGGGGGTGCCTTGGAGGGTCAGGGATGACGCTCCCCAATCCTGGCAGCTGGTGGGCCCCCACCCCGCCAGCTGTGCCTCGTGCACTGTTGCCTCCTCCTGCCTGGATGGGACCGATGCTCGCAGCTTCCCCACCTGGATTTCTGTCCCAGGTCCCTGCCTTCGGGGGGCTGCCTGCATGACATTCTCGATTGGATCGGAACGGCCCACCAGCCTGCCACCGGCAACGGGCCTGCTCCAGAGGGGCCGCCCGCTGCCGTCTCACCCGCCGCTTGTCTGAGCCAGGCTGGAACCACAGCTCCCGGCGTCAGGTGCCAGGTTCTGAGGGCGGCGTCAACCACGAGAGGACGGTGACAGGACTGGGTCATTTGCCTTTATAAAACGTTCTTACGTCAAGCACAGGAAAATGGTAACTTTAGCAGTCACCTGGGTGAGTGCATGAAATTGTCAATGGCCTGTGAAATCTGCAAGCTTGGCGGCCTCCACCGGGTCACAGAGCTCTGGACCCCAGGGGCACACACTTAGGGAGCTACGTTCAGAACCCTGGGGCCCGGGACCGGGGCTGCCCGTGCCCCTTTACCAGCTTGAATTTAGAGGCTATTCTCTAATAATAAAATAATAATAACAGAAAATAAGAGAAAACCTTTCCTCTACTCAATGTCTTTGTAAATGGTGGAGGAAGATGCCAGAGCAACGGGCTCAAATGCCCCTCAATCTGCTCTCAGGAGGAGGAATTCAGAGACACTCAGAGTCCGATAAAGCTTCCTGTCTCCCTAAAAAGGCCGCTCGGACAGGACTTGCGCGTCTTTGTTCCCTCAGCTCAGGTTGTGAGACACACATGTCATTTCGAGAAGTATGGAACTAATTGAGGACTGTGTCCAGCCCTTGTAGAGGTGAACAGGGCAGATAAATAAAAACTCCATTGCACATAAATCTTTGCTCCCAACATCAAAGAAACGGGATCCTGCTAAGTGTATTTGTATAATGCAGTAATTTATGCAAAAAGCAGCTTTGATAAATGTCCCCTAATTTATTGTCATGTATCTCAAATCAAAGGCAAACGTTTACAGCCTGAGCCTGAAGGAAGCCAGGCCTCTGAGAGCCAAAGGGGTTTGAAATAGTCAAAGCTATGTTGGGCAAAAGGTTAAACGTGATCTGGTTTGAATGTTCAGAACTTTCTACAAATGATGGCGAAGGAAAGAGGGGACCAGGTTGGCTTCTAAAAAACAGAGCGAGGCTGAACTTTCCCAGAGCTTTTTCTTCCAAACACAAACACGATCCAGCCACTGAAATGTTCTTGGAGGAACCGCACTGGGGCCTCCGTCCGCCCTTGACGTATGAGTGCGACCAGGCCGAGAGGGAGAAGCGCCGCCGACATTGATCGCCCCTCACTGTGCCCAGCGCGGTGTGAAGAATCTTCTATCCATGATCTTGTCACTTCTCAATGCAACGTTAAGAAGGACTAGGCTCACTATTCTTGTTTTACAGCTGGGGAAACTGAGGTGGCACATTAAATGTGGAGGAAGAAGACCCAGGAGCCTTAAAAAGGCCCCTTTTTCTTTTTTTTCCCAAAATATATGCGTTTTAATATCCCTACCTGCTGCCCTCAGAGTACTCAGGCAGTCAAGGACAGGGCCACTGTGAGGGAGCGAGATGAGAAGCTGGAAGTAGGGGCTGACCAGAGAACTCAGACCCAGGTCCAATTTGTGGAGAGCCAGCTTGGGGTTCCCAGGGGGAAAGAACCTAGGACTGTCTTGGTCACTGGCCTCCCCTCAGCATCTTGTCCCCTCCTAAGGAACCATTACATGGAACCCCAGGTGGGGCTCAATGTCCAGGTGAGGCCACAAGGACCTTCAGCCCAGGGAAAGCAAACATGCAGCCTGCTTTGGGTTCCACAGGAGCAGCAGGTGGGTTTCCAGGGTTGAGATTCCTGTAGGGCAGGCCATAGGCAGGCCAACTGCCTGGGTAAGGTGGTCACAGTCCATTAGTCTGTCTCCCAGGGGGCTGCCAGGTGGTAGGGTGGCTACTGTACCAGCCGGTAGGTGATGTACCTGCCTGCGGTTTCGCTGGGCCGGATGATCTTCACTACCTGCCCTCGCTTTATTCCAAAGTAGCGTGCCACAGGGTCTCCAGCCTGGATCCTGGGCAGCTGGTTTTCTCGGAGTTTGTGTCTGGCCAGCAGCTCCATCACCTCCTCCTTGGTCATGACGACATGCTCTGGGACCAGCTCGTGCTCTGTGATGTTGATGAGCAGCTCCTGCTGCAGAAACTGCTCCAGGATGTACTTGGGGACCATGTCAACCAGGGACTGCTTGGCAGAAGGTGTCATGCCCTGCTGTACCACGATGAGGGCTCGGGTGATGTTTTCCTCCTGCATGCGTTGACAGTACACCTTGACGGTCTTGATCCCCACCTTGGGCTCCTCTGGGAAAAAGACAAACATCTGGTCAGTGGGGTCATCGTGGTGGGCCACCAGCACTGTGAGGTCAGTGCGCCGTGGCTGCCCTTCACTTGGATTGTCCCCAAACTGGGCCTTGAACTCCTCCAGTGTCTGGTCCAGTTCACCCTGAGTTACTAGGTAGCCTCAGCCATGGCACAACTGCATAATGGTCTTGCGAATCTTCCACAGCAGGTCCGTCTCCTCCTCGTCGTCCATGCCTGCCGCCGCTCGCACTCACGGCGCCTGTGCCCGGCAGGACCCGCGCCGACTGCGCCTGCCAAAAGGCCCCTTTTTCCTGCTGAACTTGCTCATGTTCCATGACCACTCGTTCCGAGGGCGAATGAAGGGCACTGAGTAGGAGGGCATTCCCCCAAAGCACCGGCCCAGCTTTATCTTCAGGCAGACCTTATTCTGAATGTCATCTCCTCCAGCTTCTAGCCACATGATTCTGGGCAAATCCTAACCTCTCTACCTCTCCAAATACCCACCTATGAATGGACCAAATAATGGTGCCTGATTTATGGGCCTGTCACAAGGGCTCAAAGAGGTAACGTCTGCTAAACACACGCGAGTGTCCAATCCAGGAGTGTGTTATTGCTGTGTCCTTGTCTCACTTCCGGTCCCGCCCAGAACACAGGGGTACTAGGGCTCCTCAAACTAGACTCCCGGAAGCTGCCACCATCCCCCGATGCTGGGAAGATGACCCACCTTTGTAACATGGGGTTTTCAGTGTTCAGCCCGAGGGCTCTGCATGCCCACGGTCCCCGGGAGAGGCCCGTCCAGCGCCAGTAGTAGCAGAGTCGTAGACAGCAGCTGTTTAAAGGTTTTACTGCCCATCTGGTGCTTGGGGTGGTCTTCAGGCTGGCTCCAGGAGGAAGGGCTTCTCTGTGATTCCACCAGCTGGGAACTGGTCTTGCAAACCCAGACTCAGATCGTAGCCTTCTGGCTAATAAAACCGAGAGAGAGCGGACTCGCAAAGGGCAAGATGTTTTCTCCCTCTGAGGGCTTAGCCGCCGAGGCCTGGATCACGATGCTCATCTGGTTTCCGTCCAAGGCGAGGCCCGCGGCACTTGTAAATGGCCTGTTCCGGGGTGTGCATGGGTTTTGAGGGGTGGGACATGTGTGTCACTGACGTGACAGTGTGCGAGGGTGAGGCTCTTCCCACGCTGTGGGCACTTGGCAAACGTGTGCACAAAGGCCTTCCCGTCCACCTACACTCCTGCCAGACGGAGGAGCCCTGTGTTTCCGCGTGGAAGCTGGACCGCCTGGACTAGCCCCGAACACAGACTTTATGACCCCCCCTTCGAGAGGGAAGCAGGATCAATAGAACCGGTCCTTGGGTTGAGATCCCAAGAACTCTGCTTCATGGTGACCTGAACCTTGGGTCTATTTTGACTACTCTGAGCTCCAGTTTCCTCATCTGTAAAATGAGAATCAAGAATGCCCGTCTTGCCCTGGCAGTGTGGCTCGGGTGGGCGCCATCGCCAGTTCCATTCCCGGTCGGGGCACGGGCCTGGGTTGTGGGCTTGATCCCCAGTAGGGGGTGTGCAGAGGCAACCAATAGATGTTTCTCTCATGGATCTTTCTCTCTCTCTCTGTAAAAAAAAAAGTGACATATAATAACATATTAAGAAAATAAAAGAACCCTTCAAAACCACACAGAGCTAAGAGCCAGTGAAAGCGGGTGTCAGCTGGGGCCCCTGCGGGATTCCCGGGAGCATGCACTGTGTCCTGCAGGCCAGTAGGGGGAGCTCTTTCACCCACCCTCTTCCCACTGCAGGTCGCCATTGGCAGCCACCACGCGTGGACTTCAGTGGACACCTCCATTGGTGTCTCCTTCTGCATCTGGACGCTCAGCCGGCTGGCCTATTTAGTGCGAAAGGATCTAGTTTGTGCTTTATAGGGTTGGGTATTTTTTTTTTTCCTTTTGGTTACTCAGCTACTTGGGTTGAGATGGTGCTAAACCTCATGGTGTTTTAGAGCAAATTAGAAACTGGCACCCCCTCTGGGCAGGCACATGGCTCGTCAAGTAGACAGTTTGTTTTGCAGAGAAAACGGCGCCCTTCTCTCTGGGCAAGTGCAGCCTGGCATGGGATTCTCTGCTGGGTAACTGTAACCCAGGCAGGGTCTCAGTCCCCACTGTCCCCTCGGAAGGGCCTTTTGTAGTGAGCACCTCACACAGCTGGACGGGGCAGCCCTGCTCCGAGGCCTCCCTCATTCCCCGCCACCCCAGCGGTTTCAGAGACACTGTCCCCTTGTGTGATGATGTCCTCACTTGCCCTTCACACACTCCTCGTTATGTGACTCCATTCTGAAATAACCCCAAAATGGGACCTGGAAATAGGACGTCTCGCTGAGGGGCTCGGGAGCGGGAACTGGACCCATCGGGCACCAGCCTTCGGGGGGGGGGGGCTGCATGGCACGATCCGAGAACGCCCCAGAGGCCTTGCCCACCACCAGAGCTCCTCCGGCTCTGCCGTGGCCTCCAGGCAGGGTCGGCTTCGTGGGCATGCCGCCTGGGCGGTGGCGCGGGTTCTGAGCCTGGTTTACGCTCTGCTGTTGCGTCCTGAAATTCTTAGTCCTTTGGAAGAGGGGTCCCGCACTTTATCTTGTACTGGACTCCGCACATTATCTCGCCGGGCCTGCTCTTGGCTCTTATGGCCTCTCGGAGGTCTTTTTCATGTAGATATGCTGGTTTATCTGTACCACGCACCCACGATGGGCCTGGAGCTTGACAGAAGCAGGCCGGGTCCCCACTCCCAGGGACCAGACGAACTGCAGGTGCCAGTGGAGAAGAGAGTCAACAACTGAATGAGTAAATGGGACAATTTCAGAGGATGGGGGTGCAAGAGGGTGTGAAGCACGTTACTCCATGGAGAGGACTTCACAGGGGGTCCCTGTGATTAGAGAAGGCCTCTCTGAGAGGGGGCTATTGAGCTGAGATTGGCATGATGATGTAAGAACCAACCATACCTGGGGGTTGGAGGTGGGAACAAGGTAGGAAGAACAGCAAGTGCAAAAGCCCTGAGGTAGGACAGAGCTCAGGTTATCTGGGGTCTGTAGACACAGAAATGGGTTTAGATTTTAAATACAAGAGAGTGTGGGGAAGGTAAAAGAGGTATAAGAGTAGTAATGACTACCCTTTGTTGAGTGGTTTCTTTGTTCCAGACATGCCACAAACATTCTTCCTTTTGATCAACCAGAAAGTGATATAGCATTCCCATTTTCTGGATGAGAAAACTGAGGTCCAGTGGCCCAAGTCACTCAGCCTAAAGAGCTGTTCAAACTCAGATCTGTCAGATTCTAAAGACACTGCTCCCTTCTCTTCGCTGTCAGTCTCGTCAGCACGGTCTCCAGGCTGCCTCAGAGTGACGCTCTCCACTGGGTGGTGGCACCCTCAATGCCTTAGGTCCCTTCGCGGCCCGAGTGGCCTCTGAGTACCAGCCCTGGAGACGATAGATGAAGCAGTCTTTCGTCACATTCACTGGAGATCGCGTTGAAATTTTATCCTATGATCACTTAAATAAAGCCAGCTGGGGGTAGCTGTTCAGGAGACACAAACAAGAACTGGGTCCAAGACATCTTTGTTCAGCACAGTGTTCGGCTGTGCCCAGCTTCAAGTCCAAAGGAAAGGGAGAGACCAAAACATATTAATTAGTTGCATTGGAAGCTCTCTTTAAACGCATGCCTTCCTTTTAGTTCTGTGGTCCAGAAACGAGGAGTTGACTTTTATTTTTGGACGGGCTCCCAAACCTCTTGATCTGTGTGCCTGTCTCAATTAAACTTTAGAACCAACATGGGCAGGGCATGATCCTGAAGACTGCTGCACATACAAGTGTAGCTGCCTTCAAGGCCTTCCAACCTGGTGGAGGAGGCTAGATGGGCTGGGGTGGAATTTTTCAAGGCAGAGACAAGTGCCCCAAGACGGATAAGAGAGGAGGCATGAAGGTTTTAAGGAAGGGAAAGTGGCATGTCCTTAGTAAAATGTACTCATGCATGCAAAAACATGTATTGAGCACTTACTGTGTACCAGGTGCTGAGAATACAGCACCGAGCCCTGCCCTGGTGGATCTCACATGCTAGAAGGAGAGACAACAAATAATCAAAATGATGAACAAAGAAGGTCCTTTGAGTGAAGGAAACAAACAAGGAAGATGAGAGAAGTGGCTGGGCAGAGGTGGTTCTGGAGAGTTCCTCTGATTGGTGATCCTCAAGCTGAGACCCCAAAAATGAACAAAATAAAAAGAGAAAAGGCTCAGAAAGGAGGCAGCAGCCCTAGCCAGTGTGGCTCAGTTGGTTGCACCGAGAGGTCGCCGGTTCGATTCCCCGTCAGGGCACATGCCTGGGTTGTGGCCTCAGTCCCCAGTTGGGTCATGCAGGAGGCAGCTGATAGATGTTACACTTTCACATAAATGTTTCTCTCTCTCAGAAAAAAGGCAGCAATTACAAACTGAAGAATCCTAAGTCATATTTCTGATTGTTTTTACTGTGTTCTTGTTTTGTGTCTCAGCGCTCTGATGTATAGATACATTGTCACAACAATCTCTCAGCATTAGAACGGTCTCCAGACCAAGTACGGCGCCCGAGCAGAGACGACTGTAGCCCGTCTTCCTTCTTTGTCCACATTAACTGCAAACAGCTAGCTCTTCCTGCCGGGGTGCTGGTCTTGCTTGTGCGGCAGACTCGCTGTGTGATTTGGCTAAGTCATTTAATCTCTCTGGTCTCTCTGGGCTCCTCCTCGACAAAAGGGCCGGGCGAAATGTGAAGGTCTCAGAACTGGCAGGGTCAAGGGTTCTATGATCTAATAGAGCAAAACAAAACTTCCTGAGGTGTCATTGGGAACACATGGATTCCCCCACTTGGCAGAAAATTACATTACCAGATTCCGACCCGAGATCACAGCAAAGGTTGTGAACTGGGGCCAAGCTCTGAGCCTTGATCCCCAGATCGGGCAGCCCAGGAGCTCCGGGGATGCGTCCTGGCCAGCACCCACATGTGTCTTATATTAGTGTTATTTTCTTAATGGCAACAGCCCTAAAACCTGCCCATTTTACTATTGAGTTACCCAGCTTAGTCTTAGTATCACTTACACATAAATACCGTCTCCAGCCGATGAATCCAGTTTTGTTTTTACTTCCCCTGCCCCCCCTTCCTTGGGCAGGTGTTTATTGCAGCCATCAAAAATAAAGTGGATCAATCAGAGCGCTGTTTTTAGACA